AGGGCCGATATTCGCGGCAGAGATTCTTGCATGCTCATCATTATCTGTAGGAGCCTGTGCGGGACTGAGCCGCGAGCGAGTGTGGTAGTATCCGTGGCGTGGCGTGGCAGGAAGCAAACTCTGATTGATCTTCGCCGTTGAATGGCACTTTGTCTGGGAGAGCATCAGAAACAGAGAGACATGTGTGAGGCAGGGGGAAAAAGGGGTCCTTCGAAATCGTGGTGTCATCGAACAGACATGTTATTTTTTCTCTCGCTTATCGGCCCTGATGCGGACTGCGGGAAACATCAGGCTTAAGATTTGCTTTTCAGAAATCTTGCTGCAAGTTGACTATTGCGGTATATGGACTGAAGTTTTGATTTCCATCTCGCAGGTGTTTTGGGTGATGGGCAAGTGTGAAAGTAAGGTGAGATCAAGTGTAGATATTCTCGCCTGTGCGGGTGCATGTGCATGGTTGATGTACGTGAGGTTTATCTCTCTTACCCTCATCTGTCTGCTTGTCTGGATGCATGTGAAATGTCCTTGCGAGCTTCAAGTCTGTGCTGCGCCGTGTGCTCTGTCCTTTTTCTCACCCTATCTCAATCTTCCTGTTGAATCTCCCTGTTGAATCTCTTTGGCGATAAGGTTCCATTTGGTTGTTGGTGTGTAAGCTCTCTAAACGGTTCATCTGGAAATTAAAAACTAATGGTGCTTGCGATCTGCACAGTCGACGCGTGCGGAAGGACGAGCGAGCCGAAAGTTCTGCGCGGCGGGAAATATCTCCGACACCACGCCAAGAAACTGCCAGGCGATTTGACAAAACTTTGGTTTTATTTTTTTTTCACGGGCGAGACAGGCAAGAGTTTGGCTGTGCTTCGATGCAAATCTCACGCGAGACATTTGTCGGGCAGGGACGTGTATGCGTGTGTGGTCGCCCGTACGCACACCTCAACTCACAACCGCCCTTCTTACATGCGTCGCCTACCTACCTGTCAATGTCTGACTGATATGAATTAGGCGAGAGCGAGGAGTGTAAGTAAGGTTAAGGTTGGTGTGGGAACAGAGAGACGTGATGAACTGACATGCCGTGCAGGGGAGGACGAGAGATGCGCAAGAGACTGCGTTTCTCCCTTCCCCCCGCATTGGTCGAGTCCCCGACTCTGCCGTCTGTCAGAAGCCGATTCGTTGTTGGCCGTTGAAAGATGTACCGGTATCCGTCGGTAGGTCAGGATATGTGGTGTCACTCCTGTTCTGTTCGGATATTGTCATCCCACCGGCCGGCCGTAACAGGCGCTCAGTGACGGATGGGCGACGGCCTAAACCGAAAGGACCACTCTAACTTCTCCGTAAACAACGGGGAAAGGAAAGAAAGAGGCGCACGAGCACGAGGTCCTCAGGTTGGTGTACCCGAGTCAACGTTTTGGGAAAGTTTGTTAACGGACGCTGAACAGCGTCGTTGATTCAGAATAGGTCAAGGGTCTAGGCCGTTCGAGCCAGCGAGCGTGGGAGAGAAAACGGGCTCTTCGAGCAGAAAAGGCGTGCGGATGTACGTGCTCCCGTGCCCGCATGTTGTTCTGCGGAAGGCGGATTGTCGGACTGTGTGCTCCCTTCGAACCGTCTGCCTTATCTGGCCTTGCATGTGCCGATCCAAGGTTGCAATGCAGGATGACTTTTGGGGGGTCATGAGGGGGCAAGAGTGGGAGAATATGGGGGAGCATTTTGGGTAGCACTGTGGCATGAGGCTGTGTTGAATGTAACAACAGCATTTCGAAACCATCGCCATAGCTATCTTGGACCATAAGGCCAGACGATCGAGGGGTTTGTTCCCTGAGAGAGAGCAGACTGACACATAACTGCTGATCCCCGCGGGAGACACTCAGAGACACTTAGAGATAGAGACAGCGGAATGCGGGACTCGGGAGGGGACAACTTGAGGTCTGCCGTTTGCAAGGGAGCTTGATCCCGGAGCTATCCTGAAAGGGGCATGTTGCATTGCTCGCTTCGCGATCCATGCTCTGCCTCTCTCGCCCGGCCCTAAGACAATCCCATCTCAAAGCTTGTTTTTGCGCCGCGTGCCTCCCGTGCCTCCCGCACATCTCTTTCTGACTCTCGATCTTCGACTCTGAAGTGTCAATGGTGGAAGATATCCCGTGCCTACTCTTCTCTTGGATCTTCCGTACAAGTTGTGTATTGTACTGGCGAAAGTCGTGCTACGTACGCAGAGGCCAAAGGAAAAAGGCTCGGCGCAGTGTCTCAGCGCCGTTGGAAACAACAAGAAAAGCCATTTCCGTTCAAATCACCTCATCTCCACAGAGAAGAAAAGTTACACACGCTGAACAGAATTTGGGTGCCTGGAATGTCACTGCAAGAAATGTCTCGGGGCAAGATGCCCTCTTCCCTCTCGCCTCGCTCTACCCCCGTTCCCGTCCCACCCCTCCTTTTCGTGATCCTATGAAGCGTGGCCGCCAAAGGCCTTTTTTCTTACATACATACATCAACTCCACAGGACATCGTTCCTCACGATGGGAAGGCCTGTCTGTGTTCCCCGGCAGAGTGCCGCGGGCCGCGAGTGGATGTGCTGGGGTGGGTGTGCAGAAGAATTGGAGCACTATCTCACACACACACATATACACACACGGATAGACGGGGAGAGGGGCATGGACATGGGCATGGCATGGCATGGCATACTGCGTAGACAGAACAGTCATGACAGAGAGAGAGAAACAAGCAGGATACTCAACTCGACAGCCAACAGCGAATGCAGCTCGCTTCTCACTTTCTTTCTCGTCTCGCGTCTTGATGTGCAGCTAAGCGGCGGCGCAAGGGCGAGGCTAAGCCGCATCCTGCAAATAGTCTACTGCAAGACGGTTGGCTGTTGGCGAGCTGCATGGTGGATGGCAGGCTGGCAGCCAGAGATTCTGAGAGAGAGGGCGCTTCCTGCTCATCTATGATTGTTGCTTTTTTCACTCTCTTCGTCGTTCTTCCCCTCGAACCTCGTTTCTTCTTCTCAAGTTCACTTCCGGGAGAGGGCTTGGGCTGCATGAGCTCTTCTCGCTTCCTCTCCGAACTCCCTGTCTCTGATTCTGTCTGTCTCTCCTCAGACTTCTCTACCCGTCGGCCCCTCACCCCCCTCACACACACCCCTACCCCCCCTTATGATTCTGTCCTGGTGTATCCGTACCTGTCAGTGTGTCAACACAACCCGTCAAGCTCCAGGTCGCGTTTTTCTATCGAGATGTGCTAGGGCCCCCCCGTGTCGATCCTCTGAAAGCTTGTGGCTGCCCATCCGTCGACGATTGATTTTAGTTCATCCTTCTTCTGCCGTTCAACATTCTTTCCTTCTCCTCGAACCGTGTCCGACTAATTCTTATTTCTCTTACTCTCGAAAGACCTTGTTTACCCCCTCGTAAGGTCATTGCGGATTCAACTTCCAAACGGTCGATAAACAAGCACAAATCCTTCTTTGTCGTTTTCCCCTTGTCCTACCTACCTGATTGAACACTCGCAAAACAAACTCATTCGCCCAGGGATCACTTTGGGGCTTGGGGGAACTCGAAAAACCACACTGCCACCTCTTCCCCTCTCGACATCGTACCCAGTCCTCCTCACAACTCCCTCCAAACAGCGCCTCAATCACCTCCCGCCTCAAAAGAGAACACAAAAGAAACACATACATACACAATGTGCCGCCTCGTGCTCTTCGCGGGCACCTGCACCCGCTGCAACGAATCCCTCACCTGGGCCGACCTCTCCCAGCAGCTCTCGTGCCTCGAGGCCAAGAACGCCGACAAGTTCGGCTCGTGTCGGCGTGGCGTCGACGTCGAGACACACGCCTTTGACCAGGAATGCGACGCCTGCGCCGGCGAGGACGAAGGCGTTGCCGGTATGGACTTTGGTGAGCAGGATTTTCAGCAGTATCATCATCAATATCAGCAGTATCAGCAATACCAACACCCGTCATCAGCAGCATACACAGCAGCAGGATCGTCGTCATCGGCGTCAATACCACAACCCGGCTCGAGCAAGAGGGGCCGGGACGAAGGGGAGGGAAGGAAGAAGAAGAAGGCGAGGACGTGAAAAGCTTGATGAAGCTTGCGATAATGATGGAGTTATGACACGGTTCGAACTTTAGAGAGGATATTTGTCCATCTCTTCCTTTCCCCCCCCTCTCTCTACACTCCTGGCGAGGCGTTTGGTGTTCGACATGAAATACATACAAAATGGCATTGGGGGTTTCAGGACTCGGGATACCACCGGACGCGATGATGTTGCGCACTTGCGGCATTGGCAATGGCATCAATCGATTGGAGCCACATCAGCAACATCACAGGCACATGACGCATACGACGACGATCAGGACAAAAGGGCAGGCGATAATGTTATTTTTGGGCGGGCACACTGGGCTTCAAGGTCACAGGTGTGTGTGTGTGTGTGGCAGGCCTGCGGCGGACTCTCCGCCGCATTCCTGAGGGAGAGGAGAGATACCCTAGTCTACCTTTACCTACGTTAGTGGCGTGGCGATCGGGAGGGGCTCCTAGCGAGGGGATCCGCGCCTCTTGGCATGCGGGTGATGTACGACACGTCTCTGATTTCCATGTTCCCTGGCGGGCATGGAAAGGCCACGATGGATCACTCTTTGACAAAAGAAGACTTTACAGTTAATACAAAAGCGTAATCGATTTCGCAGCATAAGCCCTCGTTTCAATACCCCATCCGTTGTCCTACTTTTGAGGTTCTCATGGGGTGAGCCGGAGGTCTTCCGCTACTGCACGGTCAGATGAGGTAGAGGACACTGTATGATCCGACCTAATGTCATTGTTGGACATCAGTCGACCGTGGAACGAAACCATGTATCGTGACGGACCTGAGCGAACGAATGACATGATGCATTATATGGCACCTCTACCCTCCCATGATGTCGTTTATCAGCCTGCAAGAAGCTCATACGAGAGAAAATTGAGTCGCTCTAGAATTGAGTCTAATCCTAGCTTAACTAGGACATGTTCACTCTAGTGCTGCTCTCAGAGCGCGCCGTTGCCTCCGTCATCATTGAGAAATTCGAAGTCAAAGTCATCACCCAACAGTGCGGAGTCGAAAAGTTGCTCTCCTTCCGCTATTTCGTGATTCAGCGTGCTCATGCCACTCGCTTCCGTCCAGGCAGGATAAGATTCCTGCTGCGAATAGTCGAGGGGAAAGGTTCCCGTCAAGTTGTTATCCGTACTAGGAACGTCTCCTGGGACCACAGCCATCCCTCCCTCGTCGTTGCCCCGTGTTCGAACTGTATTTGTCGAGAATTCATTGAGAACCTGTGGCGGAGGCGGTCTCATAAGGGCCTCTTCTCGGTCGATGGTGCTAGTTTGCTCCTGGCCCCTATAGAAGTCTTGCATCAGTGAGGGCCACACACCGCGGACGATATCCCTCAGCTCGGCTATAAGCTCTGGTGCCACATCCGCAAATCTTTGCTCAACCTCAGCTTCGATGTGCTGCCGAACGCGAATCACGATGTCACGGCGCGCAAATTCCATTAAAGTCTCTTCTCGATCAAGTACCGAGATGCCATAATCATAATCTGCAAAGGTAGAGTGTTAGTTCCGTCTGACGTACAACTATACTGGATCCCCACTTACAAGGTGTGGGAATTTCATCTTCCCTTACATCAAAAAGAATCTTGTATACTTGCTTCCACTTCTCTTCCACAGCTAGTTTCGGTGAGGATCTGACCCTAAGGAGACGCTCAATGTCGGGTCCAAATTTAAACTCTCCGCTCAGGTCCGCTTCGGTGTTGATCTCGCAAAGCTGAGCAACTCTGAGGTGCGAGTCTAACGCGGCTTACGTCTTGAGATATTGCCGACATCTGCTGCATTGGAAAGGTAATCTTCCATGCCGGCGGAAGAGGTGTTCTCTGGAATTAGTGTGTCAGCGAAGGAGGCTGGTAGAACACCAGGTCAACGGCAGCAAACTGACTTCAGGCGATGAACTGTAGGCCACCCAGGACCTGCACATTCCTTTTTCCTCTGGTAACCAAGAGGGTTCCACTTGAAGAAGGGGCATGCGAGCAACACACCCTTGGGCGCACTTTTCATGTCTGGCACTCTGCGGGGTCTCTCGCCGTCGTCCTCGCCTTCATCGCTTTCGTTGCCTTGGTCTTCGTCCCTAGCACGATCCTTTTCTTTCCGTTTATCGCCACTCCCCCCCTCACCGCACAACTTTGGTCGTTTTCGAGTCGTTCGATTCTCTGTGCGTGCAGTCGAGCCCTCAGCTTGCAATGGAACTTGTCTCGTTTCGCTTTCATCCTCCAGTTTGACGTCCAGGAGGCTGCCTGTGATCTCCTCCAAATACCTGTCTAAATCGCGGAGAAACACATCCATTACCATCTGAACCGTCCTGCGCTTCTCCTCCTCCACAGCTCGTACTCGTTGACCTTCATTCGCCGTCGACGTGCTCGAAACATCGGATTCCTCGTCGTTGGACATCGATTGTTCATCCTCAACCATCCGTGTATCAACGTCAACCTGGGTTGGGGTGTTTGGGTTCTCTGATGGAGGAGTGTTGGCTGCTGCGCTCCACTCTTCTTTCCAATTTCCTGTGCGTATTCTATCTGCGTGTGCTGCAAGTGAGTACTGAGAACCAACAGCGAGCAGATCGGGATTATCTTTGGCCGATTGAAGGCGTTCAGGAATGCTCGATGGAGGTCTTTTGGCAACGAGAGGCCGCGCCGACAGATTGAGATGCGTTCCAACGCCGGCCAATTTGTTTGTGAGAGGCTCTTCATGGGCTGCTTTAGTCCATCCCCCTGTCCAGGACTGCGGCCATGGATATTTCTTATTGTCTTCTTTGCTGCGTTGAACGAGGAATATACTACTAGGTATTAAACCAGGATGGGTACCACCAGGACGATGACCCCTATTTCTGTCCGTAGCCGAGTATAGTGAGGATGCAGTATGGTAGTCGCTGGTTTCATATTTCTCGAAGCTTGGCACAAGAGCTTGGGACCTGTGAGCATAGAGCTCCGATGGAAGGACTTCAAGACGCTCTAGGCACGAAGCTGGATCGAAAGATCCATGTCTCAGGCACCCAAAGATCTCAGATATCACATGCTGGCGTCCCAGGAGTCTTTGGCAAAGGTTGTGGACCTTGCTGATGAAATAACTGCTGGCGGCGTTGTCGGTAATTTGTGTAGTGTTCTTCCAGACGACGAGGAGTGTGCTCAGCAGATGAGGGTACTCATCCACGATGAGTTCATCAAGAGCTTCCAGCTTGTCCCGGAACGGCTTAAGTAATACTGCAGAGTCGTAGCCGTGGCTGAGGCGAATGGTATCGATTATTCGATCGGTTTCAGTGGCCCATTTGAAAAGACGGTGTCCTCGGCTGATATGGTCTGCAAGATCGACAAATACGGAACCTGATATCATTGATTCGTGGATGTACTGAACGAGAAGCTGAGTGATCTCGCGGTACTTCAACGCGTCGCTCGGATGATCCGACTTTGGGGCAAATCGTACACCTGAAGACGGCACTGTCTCCAGATGTGTTTCTGGGTCGTTTGAGTCGGTGTACGTGGTTTCTTTTGTTTCTTCACCAGTCTTGTCAGCTGGGATGCCTTCGCGAGCTTTTCCATACTTGGCACATCCCCAATTGCTCAGTCTGTAGACGAGCTGCCTCTTACTTTGTAATTAGACCGTTAGCATACATGTACCATAGTGTCTCACGAAACATCGATATAAACTCACGTCACTGAGAAATGGTGTTCGTCTTTTAGTACTTGTATGACTTCGTCCAGGGTCTTCGTCGTGTAAAGCTTCAAGATCTGCTCTCTCAGGCTGTCCCATTGCTCTGCGGATGTCGTTGCACGTCTTGACCCAGGCATAGTTGATACGGCTCAAATGAGGTGAATAGCTTCCCTTCTTTTCTCTGGTTAATCTTTGATTTGGTGCCGCTATCAGCATATACGTACTTGAATGTACTGACGCAAGTTCAGGATTGGAGAAAAGCCTCGAAACAAAGATTCGTTGATAACAGAATCGATTTATTCTTGTGTGGAAACACAATGAGTCGATTTTGGGTGAGAACTGCGGCCCTCTTATGGCTCCGCAAGCGCCAAAGTTCACCAAACGCGCAGCTGCGCACATGGGCTCCTGCGAGGATGACCAAGTTGCTGACCGCCCTGCTGGCATACATTGCCTGTCTTGAGCTGAAACCGAGAGGGAAAGTGAAAAAGCCTACCTCGGGTACTCTGCAGATTGTTGAGCCATGATTGGTTGAGCGTCCTGAGCTGTCTGCTTGATTTGAGGCTAACCACTCAGCCCTGGTACGGAAGGTCTTCCTAGGTCTCTTGCGAGATACGAAATTCGAGTGCGCAACTGCGCACTTCCCATCCAGTGGTTAGGAAACACCCAACACACGACCAGTTCCTGACCCATACTCTTTGATGCATCTGGAAGTGGCATCAGATCGCGATTGGTGAAATTGCCCAACTTCAACTAACTTGTGGCGACACAGCTAGCTTACTTCCGTAACGACCGTTACATCTCAAACCAGCAATTATATTTAGGAGTACATATTAGACCTAGATGTCTTGCGAGTTCCTTGTCTCTCCCAGCCCGTCTTCTAACTTCCAAGACTCCATGATGTTGTGAGGTAGACAGCAGCCAAGGCACAGGCGGAAACCAACTTAACGAAAGCTAAGCTTTGAAGAAGAATGGCTCCAAGAACTCAAGGGACCATGGCCGTATGCTCCCCGTGATGCGAGTTATCACCAGCCATCGTCCGAACTGTCATCGTCCACCCATCCTCCCGGAAGATGTAAAGGTGGATTCTCGACCAGATCCCAAAACTCGCCGGCGTATTCCTCAGCTTCCAGACTCCAGACAAGGTTCCAGTCTCCAGGCTCTGGCCCATAAGTGAAAGATACCAGTCGCACACTAGGCTTGATCATACCTTCAAACCGGGTGCTCAAACGTTCTTCTTGCAGCCGCACCTCGCGCTTGAGATACTCCATCTCTCGACGGCCGTATTCTTCGAGGTCATGACCTGAGATCTGCACGTCCTCCAGCCACTTTCGTAGAAATAGGCAGGTTTTGCGTTTATATTCTGAGTGATCCCAAAAAGTCTTGTAAAGCGCGGAAATGAGTGGTGTGTAATAACGGGGTTTCTCCTCGGTGGCATCAAAAGACATCTGCATGCTGAGCCTTTGAGAGGACACTCCTTGAACAACCCACCGCACAAGTTTTCTCCAGCTAGACACCTCATCGGAGTCCTGCATCATTACGTACCACGTTACGAGGCTCTCTAGAGAGCTTTTTACTCGTGTATCGAGAATCACACTGAAGTCAGCGGGCTTGATACCTCCATCGTGCTGTATATCGTGTAGTAGGATCTGTGGGTCGACATGGAACCAGTCTAAATGCGCGTAACGTACTTTCAGCGGGAGTTGATAGTACGTGGTCGCCAGGCTTCTCGTTATGTATTGGTGAACTTCGTTTTCGGTCCATATAAAGCTAGAGATGGCAGATAGATTCGCGGTGGTCTCGCCTGGGGTAAAATAATCTTCCAGGCAGTCATCGAGGGCGACGTGAACCCAAATTTTGAAGAGCTCCAATATTTCGTTCGGTTTGCATAAGCGTAAAATGCGTAAATATGGAACGAAACCAAAGCTTTGGCCATCCATGTCGTCGAAGTGTAAACCCATACCAAGCAAATGACGAATGATTTCGACTCTTTCCCAACTGACTGCATACTAAAGTTGTGTTAGCGTCGTATGTTCAATTCTCATTGACGTAGAGGCGCATACATAAAGCAGTGTGGCTCCCTGATCGTCACGGTCGAACAAAGATGCCCGATGCTCCTCGATTTCACGTAGCGCGAGTGTCCAGTCGCCGTTCCGTGTATGATCGAATATAGGAGTATGGCGAGGTCGGACTGTCCAAACTCTCAGGGAGAACTTCCATCCAGCATGCGCTCGGTATGACTGAATATCCCAGAGTCTCGTTGACATCCACCAGGGTAGCTGTAATCGTGCCTGGTATACTGCGAAGTATTAATATAGCCCTTGCACTTCACAAACTTGCATAGGCACCCACCTTGAATGTCGTGATACTTAGAGTGCGGAACAGTCCGACTGGTAAAGCCGCCGAAGAAGGAAGACTGTGCATTGTGGAGTGGCTCCATTCTGGATGCTTTCCTAACAGAAGCTACATTTTCGAAGTTTGGCTCGTCTGTTAGCCGCACTTGTCGGTTTGAGTAGGCCTCGACAGTGAATGCGGTTGTTTTCGGTGTCTCAGCGTCACTCATAGTTGGCTCGGTCCTACCTGCGATGGAGGCAGTGGAAACGTCTTTAGCAATGTCTACTTTGCGAATAAATCGATGCGCTTACAATATCCTCGTATTTTGTGATAGCAACGCCATTTGCAGGGCGAAGTGTAGCTTTTGCTGACAGCTCTGTATCAGGTCCTTTTTAAGTGTAACCCTGAGCTTTGTTATGCTCCTCCGTGACTTCTTCGCGGTAAGAATTTGCTGTTGTAAGTCTGTCGCCAGTATCTCCAGCTCGTTCGCCACTTGCTGACAGCATCTCAGACTAGCATCTGAAGTGCCAATACTCGGCGTGCCCGCCTTACTGAGCTCCACATCCATCTCTGTGAGGATGGCATTAAGAATGTCAACCTGTTCGACGAGCTGGTTGATCTCGCGGGGCACGTCCTGGACTTCGTTCCAAAGCTTCTTGAGTTTGATTGTGCTGGAACCAAGCTTGCCGGCAATCTCGACGACGGTGAAGGCGCTGACGACAACGCCGAAGGCTTCCGCCATTGTGGAGGTCGAACCTTTCCCTCAGTCACTGGTGATCTCTGTCGGTCTCAAACTTAAGTTTCAGGCCAGGGGTCAAGGGATTGATGGTCGTCAAGAAAGGCTCTGCTACAATTCAGAAGAACAGATAGCCAGCCTTAAGGGGCAGACCGAAGGGGAGTTGAAGCGCTTTTCAACGCCCGAATTAAGCAGGCTGCGTGGCAAGTAAGCCCCAGCAGTGCCTCCCAAGCGTCAGGCTTTCCTGCAGGCTGAATGTGCTGCATGGAAAGAGCCAATTGAGACCCGACACCACATCATTCAAATTGTCAGACCAGCGCTACGTCTACCAATGAAAGTGAGCGCAAGGCGGGAAAGGACTGCTTCTTGATAGAATCGCATTGGCTTGCCACCATCAGTTCACGCCCATACTCCGATCAACCTTTCCTCACAGAACAATAGCCGCTGATACTACGAGAAGATCAGTAGTCGTACATCAAATCCAAACAAAGAGGACTTACTAGATTCCGCCTTGACTCTCAGGCAGCACGTGCATCTTAAGTTCACATCACTTCAATGAGATCTCTCAAAAGATAGGCTTTCGCACCCAGTTATGACATGGTATAATTCTTCAAGAAAGTCTACGGTATGCCCACGCGTATCCCAATCTATACATGTGAAGGCGAAGGAAAGGTATCATCTATGAAAGTGATAAGTGTTTCGGCCAACGAAAGTAAGTACATCACCAGCCTACTGAATGGTTGGAGGCGGCGTTGGTTGCCGTTTCGGTCTTGCAGGTGCAACTTCCGGTGGCGGCGGTGCGGGCTTGCGTTGTTCATAAGCCGGCTCCGGAACAGCCTTCAGTGATTCTGGCTTGGTCTTTGGAGCCTCCGAAGCAGCCTGTGGTGGCTCTGTTGCAATCTTCACAGGTTCTGGAGTCTTGTCGGCAGTTTTTGAAGCGTTCTCGGGCGTTCGTTCTGACGGGGCATCAGCATACTTCGTCGGCGGCGTCGGCGGCTCAACCTTCTTCTTAACCAAGTCCTCGTCCCACACATCCTTCACAAGGCCCCAATACCTCGACGAATCCAACTTGGCATGCGCAACATGCTGACTCCCATCAAACCTCTCCTTGCGGACCTTGAACCCGACCTCGGCAGACTCATCCGCGTGCCTCTCCACATCACCCCAGTAAATCATCTCATCGTCTTTGCTGTACAAATACGCCCGCCGCCTCTCACTGCCCAAAAGCGCCTTTTGCCGCAGCGCCGCCCACATCTTGCCAAAGAACCCGACGCGCCCGAACGGGACGTGAAACAGCCAGAACCAGCCGATGAAGACATGAGCCAACGGCGCCAGGATCCGCGGCATCGAGGCCGAGATCGCGCGGTAGCTCCGCATCCAGTGAAATCCTCCGGGACAAGAGTCGTAGAGCGTCACGTGCGGCGGGAGCTCCAGACGGCCTGCGCGATCCGCATCGGCGTAGAGCTCAAGGAACTTTGCGAGGTTGGTGGCGCCACCGTTGGAGAAGACGTGGAAGAGGAGCTGCGGGGCCCGCTGGCCCGCTCCTGTCTCGGACGAGGCCGGCGGAGGGACGGAGTCTGCTACGGAGCGGATCACGGGCACCGCTGGCTTGATTTGCCGCTTGGAGATGCGGTTGGAGAGGGTGTGGATGAAGGGGCACTTCACGAGAAGGATGCTTGCGGAGGGGTACATTGCCATGTAACGCGATGTGTACTTTGCAATGTGGACGTCCTGGGCCGACATCCAGCTGAAGATGGCAACGAGTTTGGGTGAGTTCGGGTCCGGGACGGATGAGGGCGGGTCGTAGAGGAACGTCGTGGGTGAGAGCTCTTGCATGGCTGGCAGGGGTCCGGCAGCGCCGGTGGGCTGGTTTGATGCCATGGTGAGTGTGATTTGGGTTGTCGTGTGTGAGAAACTTTCGACAGCGACCGTTGCTTTTTGCGACCAACTATCCGATGAAGAATCCCGGGGAAGGGTGACAGTCAACGTTCAAGGTAGAGATACGGGAGGGAGACGAGGTGAGGTTAAGATATAACGTAGTCAGAGCTCCAATGGGATGGACGGGTCACCTAGGCAGTACATTCTCAGCCCTATCCTCGGGTCTTGTCGTCATCATGTTAAGGTTGGCTAGGTTACCCTTTCCGGTAAGTGCCTCGGCTTTTCATCCCTGCCGCACGGGACTTTGGATGTCTCAACCAAATCCTGAGGGATTCACGTTGAGATCTTGGCTTCAATTCTCTATTATTGGCAAAAAACTGATGGGAAAATGAGGCAGTCCAGTCAGACCGGAGTGACACGAGCATAGTCAGGCCAGCGGCCCGCCGGCGGGACATGGACTCCGATTCTTGTAGGCCGATCGGTCCCCAACTTCGGAGCTGAGATCGGGGGTGTCAGCACCTTATTCTGGCAGCATATGTTGTAAGATGGAACCCATCGTATTGGTGATTATGTCATGAGCCCGCTGTGAGTCCTCGTCAGACATTGCCATGTATCATTAACGTTGCTCAATACAATTCTGAGGTTAGACCCTATGTAGTAACCGTAGTGAACAGCAGTGCCCCAGATTTCAGGGGTTCCTCAATGGACGTCGCTTCTCGTGTCAGTCGACTCGGTTGAAATGAAGTTCAATTGGTGGCAACGACAGTGGGCCGGGCATACTGCATGACGACAATGGTGGCACGTTGGGCAGGACATATGCGGATGGCGCGCCATCTCGCATTTAACATGAAGGAACAAACAGATCTGCCGAGCAGGGGTTGAGAGCTGAGAGTTTAGAGACCGAGGTGTATGCTCGGAATTTTTCTTTCACAACACGTTGACAGCACGTTGAGAGCATATGGTTTGGCCGCGAATGACAAGCGTGAACAAACATAGGACCCATCTGGTGTTACCGAAGCTGGATGGCGCAGTGGCGAGGCAGGACTTTTGTAAACTCGAGAAGCTATCTACCTGAGATCAACAGATTCTGTTTCGACCCGATTACATTTGCTTGAGCCGACTTCCGATAGCATGTGCATGGTCTGAGACTCTTTGCGTTTGTTCAATAAGCTAGCCGACTCCCGAGTAACATCTGGTGATACTGGTACCTGATTGGCATACCTGACAAATGCTGCAGGTATCCGCCTAGTGTAATCAAAGCAGTCTGAATGAGACGGAATATCGAAACGCTAGCTGAACTTGATGAATTCCCATTGTTTCAATCAGATACTTAAATCATATTGCTCCCAATTCCTATGCCCGACCATAAGCAAGATGTGCTCCAAGGGGGATCGCGGATGACCCTCACAATAACACAACCACGATGAGCTAGGCTCTACTTTATGGAAAGTATTCGAGTCCGAAGATTACTGAGCTAGAATCAGCTTCTGTCTTGAAGTAATGTGACATTCGTAAATATGGGTCGATAGGAAGTTGCCAAGGCCGTTTGTATCAATATGTAAGGGAATGTAAGCCGCAGATGAGATATAAATGAAATCTACACCAACGGACCGAATAACTTACCTATGGGCAGCGAGAGTGGATGAAATCGAGGACTCGTTGCGGGTCTCGGCTATGAGCCATGAGCCATAAGCTTCTAAGGTGATTCCGTCGTCGTTTGTGAGATTTCAAAGCCAATGGAAGTATCAATGATATGGGCGGGAACTTCGCAAATACCTTACGAGTCAGTGGCAAACTGCAACTTCCTCAACGGGAGGCCAGGATATCAAAGGAAGGTACGCTGTTTCCGTATGGATCTAATCCTTCCGAGATGGACGTGGCATCCCGAGCAAACGATCCAAGGCAAGCGGTACTTGCCCTTCCCGTCATCCACGATGGCAACCACTTCATGTACCTCCTTCCAGTTTCTAGCAGTCACAGCCATACACACGCTTTCCTAATGTTACAATTCGTCCAAAGGGAAGTAACGCAGACGGGACCAGCCGAGGTGGGAAGCACATTCGTGTTTGCTGCGCCTTCCTGCCGTCACCGTCCACCCCGAGCACACGTCCGAGGATTGTCCCCCTTTTCAAAAACCCTTCATCTTCCTCACCGTAGTCAGCTTTCCTCAGCCTTTCTCTCCGACACTTGACCAGCGTCCTCGTTCATCTTCAAAAAGAGACTCAAGCTGTAGCTCAACGGTCTCGTCCCTTCTCTTGTTCCATCCATCATTCCTTTCAACCACCCTCATTTTCCCATTCTCTCCGTGATCCAAGACACCATGAAGGTCGCCAATGTCCTCTCCTCTCTGTTGGGAGTTGGTCTCCTGTCCGCCGACGCCGTCTTGGCTAAGGACAGACGCCGTGTCGGTGTCGAGATCAAGAGCCCTCTCAAAGGCGTCAACTTCCAGCGCATCAAGGCCTTTCGTGAGGCTGCCCCTGATGAGGTCTCTGGCCGCACCCAAAAACTGAAACCATTCCATGGCAGAATCACCGGCCACAACGCCGCCACTGCCTTGGGCGCTGCCCAGCCTCGAGATCTCTCTTCCAGCTACCAGAACATCACAGCCTTGTCTCCTTGGGGTACTCAATATGCTGTCGAGGTTACCTGGGACGGCAAGCTCATCAACATGATCTTCGACACCGGCAGCAGCGACACCTGGGCCACCAGTTCCAATCTGACGTGTACCACCCTGTCAGGCACTGCTGTCTATTCCCCTGAATCTTGCGGCTTTGGACCGGACAAGATTAACGACTTCAAATATGGCCCCGTCGAGGATGTCCACTTCGCCTTGAGCTACGGTTCTGGCGAGCGAGTGTCCGGCCCCATGGGTTACAGTGACATCGAGGTGGCCGGCATCGTCGTCAAACAACAGCAGGTCGGCCTGGCCAACAAGACGTACTGGATGGGCAACAACTACACCAACGGTGTTCTCGGTCTTGCCTATCCCTCGATCACTAGTGCTTTCACTGGCGACATGAATGAGGATCGCCCTGCTTTCCAGGTTCCATACTCGCCCTTCTTTACCAGCATGGTTCAGCAAGGGCTCTCTTCAGACGCCTTCAGCGTTTCTCTCGTCCGCAATTCGTCTGGCGTAATTGGATGGGGTGGCCGCACTGGTCTGCCAATCACTGGCCCCACGGCCTACACCGATCTCATCATTGTGAGTTTTGACCAAAACAGGATGACATTTCAGTGTGACTTACAATCTTGCAGACCAGCATCAACTCACAGCGTCCCGACGGTAGCTGGCAATACTCATACTACACCATCCTCGTCGATGGCTTGCGTTGGGGATCCACGAGCGACACCAAGAAGTACCTGTACATTGTCGACACTGGCACGACGCTCATGTACGTGCCTCCGCCCACAGCCGAGGCTATTGCCAGATCTTTCTCCCCCAGTGCCATCTACTTGTTCCAGTATGGCGGATACTTCGCCCCTTGTGATGCCATTGCTCCCAAGATAGCCGTCATCGTCGAAGGCGCAAGCTTCTTCATCAACCCTGTGGATCTCATCTACCGCGGACTGGTGGACCCTCTCACGGGTTACTGCCAGATTGGTATTACTACAGGTGGCAAGGGTCCGTACATCCTGGGTTCAGTCTTCCTACACAATGTCGAAGCCTACTTTGACGTTGGTGCTGGTCAGGTTCGCTTCTACGGTCGCGAAACCTACGGTGCCACTCCTGAGCTCCCCGAGAAGTAGAAATGCAAGCAGCGGTTTGGTAGTTTCGAGGACACTTCATCAGGTCTTTTGTGATTCGGACTGAGACTCCTTAATTTCATGTAGGCTGTTCAACAAGATTGGGGATGAATTTGCTGGGGTTGTTTTGGGGTCATGTTGGCCAAAGACATAGTAGCTTACACAGAGTTGTACTTGTACTGGTGAGATAGGGTTCAGTCTAATGAATGCCACTTGCCTCAAACTTTCTTTGAATGCTCACTTGGAATCGTGTTGGTGAGGTAGCAACCTGGCCTCCTCGTCGGCGCCCGGGGCAGCCTGGTAAAGTGTGATATCAGGTCAGAGACAGCAGCAGTTCCAGCGCAGGCGGTGTTTCCACAGTGGACGAGACTGAAACCAGTGCTCGGGTCGGGACTTATCGGAGTGGCGACGAGGGCTTATCGAGTTCAAGAGTCCTTATCGATAAGGTACCTCAGTGAGGTCACTGCGATGGCGCTCTCATTTCTGCCACTTGGTTCAACACTTCACGATCCAGGCCCCTCGGCAACACTTACTCACACCTCACCGACTTCCTTCCAAGCGATACCGACCTTGCTGCTGCTGCTGCTGCTTCGGAGGCCAGCCCTCTCCTTCTTTTCTCCTTTGCAGATTTCTTTTCGGCCCTCTTCCTGTATCTCTTGCACCACCTCTTCTTCGCCGTCACGATCGTATCGTCTCAACCCCCATCGTTTGCGGTGTGCGGCGGTTACTCGGCAGTCGCTGTACCGATCTTTTGGAACCCCTCCGACATCCCCCGTGGTCGGCAACAATTCTGGGGAAAAGACTGGAATAGTGTTCTTCCGACCTGACCAGCCTGGAAAGCGACCTGGACGAAGGCATTCCCGAATTAACCAGCGAACAACCATAGCCCAGTTTCAAAGCAGCTCAGCCATCCACCATGGGTATCGGAGTGATCCCGGCGAATAGTGCCGATGAGAGCAAGAAGACACCTCGACGACAGCATACCTGGAGCTTCAGCAAGGTACGATATTACCGAATTTCTTAGTCTTCTTTTCTTTTTGATGTTCAAGAGCTTTGAGATGTTTTTGGGGGGTCGTTGTTTTCCTGTTTTGTTTGCGCGGATTTCAGTAGTCTTGTTTACAGTGCAGCGCAATGCCATGCACCGGCTTTCTCACGGGCATCATCAAGTGGCTTTTTTCTCCCTCTTTGCCCAGTCGATGGCTCCCTGGCGGTGTGAATAATCACGCAGGGGTGTTGGTCAGCGATGAAGGACCCCTCCCCTAGCCTTTTTTCCTTCTGGACTATTTGATACGATCTGGCAATCGTGCCGATTTGTTGGATCCGAGTCCCGGCCGGCTGGACCTGCTTGTTCGGAGCTGTGCTGGGCTGGGCTGCTGGGCTATGAGAGAAAAATGATCCCTGGAACAGTCGTTCAAGCCTAGACTCCTATGCGGATAGAGGCGTTTCCCCCAGCAAGTGCGGCGGTGAAATTTCCCATGTTGCGTGGTCAGGAGACTTGTCCCGGGTGACCTTTTCCCCTGGCGGGTTTTCGTGGGGGTCAGATGTTAGTGGCCATTGGATTGCTCAATTGAGCCTCGAGAGCTTGGGAACCTAGATGGCTATGATTCTGTTGCCCGCCAAGTGGTTGATGCAATGCGAATATGATTGTTGGGTCTTTGGCTCTCTGTGGACTCTGGTGCATAGCCGCAGCCGGAGGTCGCCGAGCAGCAAACAGATGAGCCGTTGGAGTGAAAACGATTGGCAAAGTTGTCAAGACGTTGGCGGCACTAGAACGGGCACTCTTATGAGCATTTGTGGTTGGAATGGGAGGTTCAAGTGGACTGGAATTTGGGTTTCATTCTTCAGCATGAAGGGTCCTTCTTGTTTGCATCCTCGTCATCGCGAAAAGGTAGTCTACCGATTTCCGGTAAACGTGGTATCATGAGGAGGCTCCGGCTATGTCTGGCAAGTCAAATCGATCAGTTCGGCGTGGTCTGATGTCCACCTCGGTTGTTCTCGGTGAGAGTTGCCCTCTTGGCTTTCGGGAGGGTGGTGAACCAAGAAAGCCGACTGGCGAACTGACACCCCAAGGCTCAATCTGGGCGCGAGTAGGATGAGTAGGATGCGACATGTCCCGGTGAGCGCTGTGGATGCGGGGATGGTCCGCTAGAGTTTGCGCTGAACTGCTGGAGCTTCAAGGCTGGAGCTTCTGCCCTCGACTCGAGCTGCCCCTCCAGAGGCCCAGTGGGCTAGGCTCCCCGACAAGGGGCACCGGGGAAAGGCGGGCAGAATGAGGGGCACCCGTATGGGGGGGATTGGAGTTCGACCCGGGGCATGGGGTCCAGTGATCCTCTATGATGGAGGGGCGGGCAGACCACGGACTAGAAGCCGCGCGAGGGGGAGACGGCGGCCTCTGCCGTTGCGCACAATGGAACGAATGACCTGCCCTGCATGCATACCCAGTTAGGTACATGCAGCTCAAGGGACACCTTATCCATCTTGTTGTGTCTGCTCAAGGTACCTTAGCTGGTGAAGCTGCTGGTGGTCTCAGTTGCGGACGGGCGAACGGGACGTCTTGAGGATGGGACTTTTCCTTTCCCTTCTATGCTTTTTGGCATTCTTGCTCCAATGACCTCGGGCTAGAGAACAAGTCCCATTCTACCTGACCCTCCGTATGGATAGTGCAGCCTTTCGTCCACTGTTCGGTATTAGGGACCCAGCACATGTCCACAAGATACCTCCGGGAAGATGGGGTCACCAAGCAAGTAGTGCTGTGCTCATGGAAGTACCTTACCCTTACCTTACCTTGACTACGGATACCCTTCCGCACAAACAGCGATCCATCCCCCGGCAAGGCACATGTCGCATCAGTTCATCCAGTGGAGGACTTGATATCTGAACTGGGCAGACTGACCTGACGGATGAGCTGAGCCTGGTGTCTCTCCATCATGACCGTTGCCGTCGTTGCGCCCGCTGTTTGTTCTTTGAGGGTCTGAGTCTCATTAAGGTACCACCGAGTCCAGCGATTCCATACCTCTACTCTCAAGTACTTACCTCACTGCGAAAGAAGTAATGTACTTGCTGCTCTCGGCTCTTTGCTGGCAGCCAAGTTGGTTCCAAGCAGCTTCCATTGCCTACCAAGTACCTTTGGTATTCTTGTTCCTCGGGATAACCTCTCGGCAGCCCTTGTCCTGTTAGGTACCCCCTCCTCGTTTACCTATGTTTTACGTACCTTTCTCTCGATCCCCTTCACACTTTCACAGACTTACGCACGCCGCCCATCCACTCATTACTCCATGCCCTCCACCCTCACCTTTCACCTCACCTAACATCAGGTCACTCTCTTCTCCTCACTACATCATCGTTCCCCAAATCCTGTGCAACCTGAACTGTGCTGTTTCTGCATCTCCTTACACCTACACATACCCATACCTCCTACCTACCCTTACATACATACCTTGCCTTTGCCTGCAAACGGAATTCTTCAGCAAACAACGTTTCGAATCACAGCCGTTGCCTCAGTCTTCTCCCTAGTCCCTACACTTTGCCAGTATCGTTATCAAAGAAGTCAAAGAGACAAGGACCCCCTCCTTCTTCTCCTACACTTCTTTCAGCAGTTCTATGTCGTCCGGCTCAGAGTGACCCTTAACCCCCGTCATCCCCGTCACCCCCGTCCCAAAGTCACCGCACCCGCCCCGAGAGTCACGCCCGAGGGGTCCCGCCTATTTGGGCGTAGAGCTACTGCCACGAGCTGGAAGCATCACGCGAGCTGCCTTCCTCCACGCTCTCTCTTTCCACGCCACTCAATTCATCCCCAGCTTCCTTCTCATGCCTACGCGTTTTCAGCTTCTACAACATCCTTTTCCTTCTGTCTCGTCATAACAACTTCCGCCTGGACAACTACCAAAAAGAGAGAGGGAACGAGAGAAAGCACAGCGTCAAGATGCCGGCCAAGACTAACGGTATAGGCATTCAGGTGGAGGATACCAAGATATGCGTCGTCATGGTTGGTCTGCCCGCTCGGGGCAAGAGCTTCATCGCTCAGAAAGGTGAGTAAATATTCTAGCTGCGTATTTCTCCAGAGAATATTCAGCAAACGACGCCGCTACCACTTTGGCGCATATTCACAGCGTTGATATCACGATTATTTGACACTGACGTGATTGGCTCAGCGCAACGCTATCTGGGTTGGCTCTCCATCAAGGCAAAGACCTTCAACGTCGGCAGCTACCGCCGCCAGGAGGATGCGCACCCTTCGGCTGACTTCTTTGACTTCTACAATACCGAGGGCGAGCGCAGACGTCGCGCCGCGGCCGAGAAGGCCATCGAGGATATGCTGGCCTGGTTCCGCCAGGGTGGTGTAATTGGCATCCTTGATGCCACCAACTCCACCAAGGAGCGCCGCAAGTGGGTTCTCGACATCTGCACCAAGGAGGGCATCGAGGTCCTCTTCGTCGAGAGCAAGTGCGACAACGAGAACCTCATCATGGCCAACATCCGCGATGTCAAGACTACCTCGCCCGACTACCAGGGACAGGACCCCGAGGAGGCTGCGCTTGACTTCCGCAACCGCATTCGCAACTACGAGAAGGTCTACAAGACGCTTGACGAGGATGGTGATGAGAACGAGTACACCTACCTCAAGATCATGGATGTCGGCAAGCAGGTTATCATCAACCGCATTCAGGACTACCTTCAGAGTCGCGTAGTCTACTACCTCATGAACTTGCACATTCGCCCTCGCTCCATCTGGCTCTCTAGAGTATGTGTCACTAACTTTGCGCTGTTGAGTCTTGGCTAATGGTGAACAGCACGGAGAGTCCATGTACAACTTGGATGGCCGCATTGGCGGCGACACTACGCTCTCTCCCCGTGGTGAGCAGTATGCGCGCAAGCTTCCTGAGCTCGTCCGCGATTCAGTTGGTGTAAGTCATTCCAAAGGAAGTATCTTTCTGTCCAGGTTGCTGACCAACCCACAGGACGACCGTCCCTTGACCGTCTGGACCTCGACTCTCAAGCGCACCATCGCTACCGCTCGCTTCCTCCCCCCTAACTACAACCAGTTGCAGTGGAAGGCTCTCGACGAGCTCGACTCCGGCGTCTGCGACGGCCTCACCTACCAGGAAATCAAGGACCGTTTCCCGGAGGATTTCGCCGCCCGTGACGAGGACAAGTACAACTACCGCTACCGCGGCGGTGAGTCGTACCGCGACGTCGTCATCCGCCTCGAGCCCATCATCATGGAGCTCGAGCGCAGCGAGGACATTCTCATCGTCACCCACCAGGCCGTGCTGCGCTGCATCTACGCCTACTTCATGAACAAGAGCCAGGCCGACAGCCCCTGGATGAACGTGCCCCTGCACACCCTCATCAAGCTCACCCCGCGCGCCTACGGAACCGAGGAGGTGCGCTACGAGGCTAACATCCCCGCGGTCAGCACCTGGCGCGGCAAGGGTTCCACGGCCAAGCACGAGAACCCGATTGCGGAGTGTACGTGAAAAGAGTTCTTGAAATTGGTTTGTGGTCCAAGGTTGACTGAAGGATTGGAACAGGAACTTGAGGGAAACGGACGCAGGCGTATCTGTCTTGTGGTCACAATCTCTGTGACTGGGACAATTCGAGATCGATTTGAGACCTGCGCACGCAAAGGATTTCCTTTTTTCTCTTGACGACGACGACGTTTTCAGACTCCACTTTTCGGCATATTCCACTCGGTTCACGATGGCGTTTAAGGACAACACGGAGAGAAAGAAAAGATGACCTATTACAGGGACGGCGGCAAAAAAACGCGGAGAGTGGTGGCATGACGCGTCGGAGGGAACCCGACACCCATTCTCGATGGAACAAATTACCTTGCTTTTTTACTGGACCAGACGAACGTCAACACAGCGACCGCATCACCCTGTTTACACTTCTCACTCAGAGGTGGGCTCCCATGCTTTCAGAGTCTTGCGGTTGCTGTTGCGATGCATCTGACGTCCGGTATCACAATTATTTTGCACTTGCTCAAGATCCTACAACTACTCTAGGACAAAATGTTTTCAAGGTTCGACAATTCACATCCAAATGAAAGGGAACGAAATGGGAGGGGACAAAAATTGCATCGATCGGACGGGGGTTACGCAGGCGGTTTGAGTGGTTGCGGACACCGGCATAGAGGATCGGGTTGGACCAAGGACCAAGGACCGTTTGACATCCGTCTGGGTGTGACGAGGGACTGGACGGTGAAAATTTCCCCTGGCCGGTCTTCTCTACATGTTCCCTTTAGTTTCCCAGTTTCATAGCTTCATGATGAATGTACCTACGTTAGGTACCAATTACGTTCTCGTTCGGTTCCGTGACTGACATCAGAACTGCTGTGTTCTTGTTCCTACCGAGGTTGGTAGTTGAGCATTTTTGAAGATGACGGCGATCGAGATAGTTTGTGTAACTGTCCCCGTCCAGTTGCGTATAACGAGCCCCATAGGAGCTGGTTGGTAATTTCCAAGCCAACCTTACTGACTATACGTCGAGCATCTCGACAAGGATGAGATCTCGTTCCCGATGGTCTCAAGCTGTGATCCTTGGGGATGGCCTGTATTCCCAGAATTACTCGGTGATGTGTACGCTGCAGTGACCTTAAGAAAACAAATAGCCAAACAGAACGCACAAGCATCTCGTCATCGAGAAAACCCGAGGTTCTTGTGGGTCATACGTTGAAAATGATCGTTCGAGGGTGGCTTCTACCGTGGTGGCCTCGATCACGAACTGAAAAGCTTGCATTCAATTTCAAGCTCTGCTCTAGAGCATAAAAGCCAGAGACGTCTGCATATGTTCAAGACGATGGAGGCGTTCATGAGGCCCGCCTTTCCATGAGTTCAGCACCCGGTACGTACCCTTTGCCCCGCATCACATTCCACTCGGCGTGGATTAACCGCCTCCGTTATCAGCCCAGACTTTTCAGACCGATAAGAAAAAAAATTCCCAAGCGGGAGAGGGTCGACACTTTTGGTAGCAGCTTGAGAGAAGTCCCTTCTGGCCGCCTTCACTGCACGGTTTTCTACAACGCAATTTTTGCATTGCAAAGAACCGCCACACAAACCACACAACATGGACGCCGCCACGAGCAAGAAGAGAAAGTCACGCGACTCAAATGGCGTGAAGGTCTCTAGCAAAAAGCGAGCCGCCGAGGCAGAGATCCCCGCCGCCACGACGACCGCAGAGGCCCCCGCGAAGAAGTCCAAGAAGGTGAAGCGCAGCAAGCAGCCCGAGGCTGAGCCGGAATCCGACAATGAGGCGGTGGAGGAGCAAGCCGAGGCCGGCAGCGACGCCGAAGATGTCGAGAACGAGGAGGAGACGGCCGCCGCCAACTTCAAGACGGCACAAGACGACGAAGACGAGGGCAACGGCTCCGACCTCGACGACGACGTTCACGCGCCCGCAAAGGACACCGCCGACGGCGAAACCGACATCCCCAACGCGCAGCAGCTCTCCCTCCCGCCCGCCGCCGGCGCCGAGGCCCACGACTTTGCCGAGCTCAACCTCTCCGAGAAGACGATGAAGGCCATTGGCGACATGGGCTTCACCAAGATGACGGAGATCCAGAGGCGGGGTATCCCCCCCTTGCTGAGCGGCAAGGACGTCCTGGGCGCGGCCAAGACGGGTTCCGGAAAGACGCTCGCGTTCCTCATCCCCGCCGTCGAGATGCTCAGCGCCCTGCGCTTCAAGCCGCGCAACGGCACCGGCGTCATCGTCGTCTCGCCCACCCGCGAGCTGGCGCTGCAGATTTTCGGCGTCGCGCGCGAGCTGATGGCGCACCACTCCCAGACGTACGGCATCGTCATCGGCGGCGCCAACCGTCGCGCCGAGGCGGACAAGTTGCAAAAGGGTGTCAATTTGCTGATTGCCACGCCCGGCCGCCTGCTGGATCACCTGCAAAACACCCCCTTTGTCTTCAAGAACCTCAAGTCCCTCATCATTGACGAGGCCGACCGGATATTGGAAATCGGTTTCGAGGACGAGATGCGGCAGATTGTCAAGATTTTGCCAAAGAACGACCGCCAGACGATGCTCTTCTCCGCGACGCAGACGACAAAGGTCGAGGACCTGGCGCGCATTTCGCTGCGCCCGGGACCGTTGTATGTGAATGTCGATGAGAAGCAGGAGCACAGCACCGTCGCGAACTTGGAGCAGGGATACGTGCTCTGCGACGCGGATAAGCGGTTCCTGCTGCTGTTCTCGTTCCTGAAGCGCAACTTGAAGAAGAAGGTTATCGTCTTTTTCAGCAGTTGTAACTCTGTAAAGTACCACGCCGAGCTGCTCAACTATATCGATTTGCCGGTGCTGGATCTGCACGGCAAGCAGAAGCAGCAGAAGCGGACGAATACGTTTTTCGAGTTTTGCAATGCCAAGCAGGGTACCCTCATCTGCACCGACGTTGCCGCTCGTGGTTTGGATGTGAGTCACTCTCTCACACACTCATGGATGCAATGATGTACTAACAGAACCCGCAGATCCCCGCAGTAGACTGGATCGTCCAGGTCGACCCCCCAGATGACCCGCGCGACTACATCCACCGCGTCGGCCGAACCGCCCGCGGCTCCAACAGCAAGGGCCGCTCCCTCATGTTCCTCCAGCCCAGCGAGGTCGGCTTCCTGACGCACCTGATGGAGGCCCGCGTGCCCGTGGTGGAGTTCGACTTCCCCGCCAACAAGGTCGCCAACATCCAGTCCCTGCTCGAGAAGCTCATCAACCAGAACTACTACCTCAACAAGAGCGCCAAGGACGGCTACCGGTCCTACCTGCACGCCTACGCGTCGCACTCGCTGCGCACCGTGTTTGATGTGAATAAGCTGGACCTGGCTAAGGTAGCAAAGAGCTTTGGGTTCTCGACGCCGCCGAGGGTGGATATTACTGTTGGCGCGAGCATGAGTCGGGATAAGAAGACGCAGGGGAGGAGAGCGTACGGAAGTCAGCCTAGGAACCAGCAGAGTGGTACCGGTGGGTTTTACAAGAAGCGGTGAGGGATGTCAGTGGATGATGAAGAAGAAGAAGAAAAGGGAGGGAAGAGAGGTTCTTGTTATTGCTGAGATGGCATGGTTCCTGTGAGAATAGATTTTGGTCAGCACGGCGTCGCGTTCATCAAAAATCATGATGGTTAAAAATGGTAATTGGGACTTTGACTTGTTTTATAAGATTCTGGGACTGCTTATGATATGTGATTGTGAAGTAAAGACTCGATGGCCTGTAACAAGGGGAAAAGAGCATCGCCTCTCATTGTCCGCTGCTGACGTATTCTCAATCCAGTCTGAAGAACCCAGACAAATCCTTTGGATTTGTCGAGCTCGATGTCTACCGTTGGCAAGAAACATCCATCTTTCAGAATGAGGCCAGCAAGTTGAGGCCCAGCTTGGTCTACTGAGCCCGTCAGTCGGATGGCCGTGGCCAGGGAGCCCGGGATCTGATGCATTGTGAATATACAGAAGAGCCTACCAGAATACTCTATTGAATCTGTTCTTCCACACCGGCTATGGGCCTCAGACCGGGCTCCTCCTGCTTCACTCACCCCGTCTCCGGGCCACGCAATTCTCCATGTCTACACCATTCGGCCGAGAGCTCGAATCAACCACATTACCAACCCATCCCATCCCATATCTTTTTTCTTTCCACCCAGCGTGCCTTCCTTTCTTGAGAGAGTTTCTTCCAATTCTTTTTTTCTTTTTCTTCTCTAGACCACTACTCGATTCATTCTTTCTGCTCCATCCATATATCACCAAGAAGTCGTACGTCTTTTGAGCAAAAAGGGAGATTAACGGCAGTTCGCATACAAGCTTCGCGCTTCCAATTAATAACAAACGAATCACCAGACACATTTTCCGTCTACTTTCTCACCACAGTATCGAGAACCAAAGTCAGCTTTGAGCAAATACCACATCTCGGAGTATTACAGTCAAAAGACAGGTGAAGATTTTACTCCATACCCAAAGAAACGAGACAATACACTAGAGATCACCTCAATCCACAGCCACTCCGATCATTACTTCCTGCCCCCTTCTTTTAGGACGAACTCTTTGTAAATCAGACATTCAAGTCGGATCCGATATCACAAAAAACACCCTCGTAGCGATTAAGGGACTGCTAAGAACTCACTCAACACTCTACAAACAACACCCATCTCAATCCAACAACTCAAACCCCATCATTCACAAAGAATCAACTCCAAGCAACCTCAAATCACCCAAACCACATCCAAGAACAACCAAGATGTGCACCTACATCTACACCCTACACACGGCCTGCATGCACAAGCAGTACCAGAACATGATGGAATGCGTCCGCACCCGCACCGGCGACAGCACCACCCGATTCGGCACCTACAGGACCCTCCACGGCGAGCTCACCCTCAACAGGCCCGTCCACCTGCCCGAGGAGGAGCCCTTTGACATTCCGCTCCGGGAGTGTCGCGCTCGGCCCCGATTCGCTACCCGCCCTGTGTCTGGGCTTTGTGTTGCTTGTAAGA